ATGTCAACAGAGAAACTTAACAGCAGCTCTAAATGTGTCACAATGAAATTTAGGGTCCAGATGTTTTAGTGCATGGTGAATACCATGGTAATGGGGACTGCATGAGCAAGGGAAGGTCTATATATGTGACTTGCTAAATTCCTACATTAGGACAACCTCTCTCTCTAACATGTCAAGTCCCTGTTATATATGCATATATTCATTAAATCAGATATCATAGTATGTGGTAGAGCTAGGTATTTGCCATTATAGTTAAAAATGAATGGATTTAATACGAATTTCCCCAAGCAGACACTCACATGCCCTGGAAATGAGATTTTACTCTACAGTGTATCTGAGGATCTCAAATACCAGTCTTATTGATTTAGGCACCTAGAAATTAATGTCTCCTAACATTGTTTCATACAGGGGAGCTATACCTGTGGCAATGTGCTCATGGATCTGAAGGACATCTCAGATGAGATTTGCCATTAGAAGTAAAAACTCAGCTACCAATTCTGAGCATTAACAGCATGGCCACCCTTCTCCCAGCTGCTGTGTAAAGTTTCTCATTCAGCATAATAATTCAGTAGCAGCAGTTGGGAAAATACAGTGGAATTGTATTCAGTCACTGGAACAGGTTGGCAATATCAGTGGGACAAAGAATTTTCATAGAATCAGCAGCTGCTGAGAACGTGAGATAGTACCTCAAAAGGTTCCTACATATACACTTCCCCAATTTCTTCCTTTTCTCTCAAAAAATTCCTGGTCTTGTGAACTAGGAAATAACTGGGCAAAGTGCATATGGCTTTTATTGGTGAGGTATGTGTGTGCAATGTTAGAAAGTGAAAATCAAATACATGCTGAAACTGAATTGTGACCTCAATTCACAATGGCATTTAATCCATGTACTCTTCCTCCCCTTTGAAACGAGGTACTTAATTTTCTGAGACTAATACAGGGCACTGAGGTCCAGAAATGTCATACTTTCATAGGTAATAAAATTATAATACTTGAGAACACTGCAGGCAGTGAACTTTGTCCTTTCTTAGTCAATAGAAAGACGAACATTAGTTTAAATCTTTTCTCGCTTCATCCTTGCAGTCATGATGCATTTCTCTCCCATTTTTACATTTTCTGGGCTGATTGCACTAGACTGTGGAAATCACTCTAGAAATAGCTGATATCTAATTTGGATTCTGTTTTTTGTGTGTATGGGTCAGTAGGCCAAGGGGTCTTTGAAAAGCCTTTTCAATGATGTTATAAGTATTTGAACTTAATGAACATTTGTCTGATTTGGCCTATATTAACTTAAATCGACAGATTTCTGGTAACATGACTAAGTGCAAATGAGATAGCTAAATGCAAAGAATTCTCTGCTAAGCCACAGGACGTTATTGATGTGCTGAGGGTTTTTTAAAAAACCAGTAGAGAATTACGTTTGTGCCGTCCTCATCCAGATTCTGAAATAAAGCTGAGAGTAATGACATGCTAATAAAATAGGAGGGGGAAACTGGTGCAGAGTAGTTGCTGTGTCAGCATGTCAGCTCCTGATGCAATCACAGGAATCCTCCTTGAGTACAGTTAGAAGTGACATGTTTAGTGTGAGGCCAGTTCCACCTGAGGTGAGCAGTGGGAGTGGAAGCGAAATGAACAGCATCTACTTTTGTATAATTTTGAAGAATTTCTTCCTTTCTAAAGAGTGTTGTTGCATCATTTTTCTAGACAGCGAGTGTCTTACAGTATATGTAGGAACAATTTGCTTTTTCTCCTCAGCTGTTTATTACTTTCTGAAACAATTTTTCTTATAGCCAGAAGGGTTCCTTTTAGGCGACTACTCTGAATAAGTTTGCAGTCATTCCAATTCTCTCGTTTGCAGCTCTACATGAAGATATGAGAAAGCATATAGGTCTCACTGTGGAAATAATGTTTGAGTCTGATACCCTTTCTTTGGGGTTGTTTGACTTGGTTAAATGACTGTATTTAAAAGAATACATATAAAAACTTCAGTGTGATTTCAGGTCTCAGCAACAAAAGAAAATCATACATCATACATAATGTTAAAGTTAAGCTTTAGTTAAAGACTGTGTATTGAGCTAGGTGTAAAAATTTTGATATGCCTTTTTCAGATTAGAAAGATCATCCCTGTCAATCAGAGGATAGTTCCTGAGACCACAATGAAAGGAAAATATTCCGGCAGTGTTAACACAATCCAAACAATGCCTTTCAGCTTTTCACTGAAATGTTTTTTCTTTTAGGAAAAAACCCCAAAAATAATGTCCCTTCCTCCCAGCCCTGTAATTTAGAGACATGTAATGCAGCTGAAAGAGGGACATAAAATTTTATACATGAAAAAAGGGAAAATTTGAAAATGAATCAGGTTTTTTTTTTGTCTTGGTTTTATTTTGGTTTTAGTTTTCCAATTTTATTTAACAACTGAAATTAAAATTTGAGAATCAATTATGTAATAGAATTTATCCTATCACTGTTCAAAGTGTAATGCATGTGCTGCTATGCACTGCCATCTCCTGAAAGGAACAGTGTAATCTTTATTATATCTTAAAAGGCTTTTTGTGTAGTCAAATCAGATACTCTAATGAATAAAGCCTGAGTTTCTGACAGAAGACAATCTGATTCCTGCTAGGATGCTCAGACAGGACCTATGATTAGAACTTTTTTTTTTTGCAATTCACGTATATATTTATTTGTTTTACCTATGGAGATACTCCTACACTTAGAGCATGTGTAACATAGTGTTTGTGTAAGGTATTTTCTTTAAAATGTCAGATACAGTATTGGTAATAGAAGATATTTTGAAATTGGCATCTGAAATATGGAGCCATAAATGAAATAAGAGCAAAAGTGGAGAAATTGTACTAAAGTGAGAGTGAGTGTGAAGACAGCATGGAGTTTCATCTAATCCAGTTCCTTATACGTTCAGATGCTGCTAGAGATAGGATTTGTTTCAGGCTGATAAATGGGAGAAAAAGCATAGGTATTTATTAGGAATATCAGTGTGTGAAAGAAACAGAAAAGATTATCAAGAAGGTTCATCTGTTGAGAAACTTAATGCATTCTCCAGTCCAACATCATCTTGGGAGCTGCCATCTGCTGGCCAGTGGAATTGCTATGGGGTAGAAGGGGATTTTTGTAATGACATGGAAAAGAAAACTAGATACCTGAGACTTTTCTATATCCTCTACTCAATAAATGACCTGGATTATTTTGGGGACAAAACCATGCTTAAGATGACACTTCCCATCTGTGGAATAAGAAGCTGTTCTCTGCAGTGTTGTCTGGAAAGTCTTTGTTTTGCCATGCTGTTCTGCAACACGGTCGACAGCTGCCCTGTGCATGTGCATGAAATCTGTGCATGTTCATTTCTTTACAGTATAGCATTTGTTACAGAATTACTCTACAGAGATATAATTTGACTAATTACTCTAATGATTTTCCAATTTTTTTTCTTAATTTTATCCTTGGTACTTAGTAGCCATGTAAATTTGTTCCTTCAAATCAGTATAGGTGTAACTCCAAAATGGGTGGGTTTGGTTTGAGTTCCATGAGGTTAGAAACATTTTTTAAGTTATGTATTGGACAAAGTCTCTTGTACCCTTAAACACTACATGGGTACACAAATAGCTGTCTTTGTAGAGAAGACACAGTTTGCAGCATCTTGAATACCAAGTGTATTTTCTGCCATGTGCAGCTTTACTTTATGGAGCTAAATAAAACAAGGGAAATTGAAATGGGGACATGAGAGAAAAATGAATGTTTTCAGCTGAGATTTGCACAGAGATGACAGGTGAATGAGGTGGAGAGGTAAAGAACAGCTGTTCCAGATGGTAGCAGCTTCAGGAGGGAAAATGCTGGAGTCAAAGCGGTCAGATTGTAGGAAGAGATGATGCTCATGGAGGATGAGTGGTGCTGGCAGGGAAATGAGTGTCAGAGGTCAGTGGGAAAAGCACAGTAAACACTGCGTATAAAGTTTATTTATCTTAAACTAACTATTTCCTGTAAATGAATCTTTTGTAGTTCTTTTCAGCACTGATTGCAGGTGCTGAAATCATCAGCGATCAACATTTTCTGTTATCTTTGTCTACCTCAACACGTACACTGCCTTAGTTCAGTTTTGTACTGACAACAGACAGTCAAGAATAAATCACAGTTTTCAAAAGTCTGTTTTTTAAGCATCCCTTCTGTATCTTTAATCTACTGCCTGGAAATGAAAGCTTCAGAGGTGCTTGAAAATTTAATAGCCTTGATTTTAAGGTTTTAAACAATCTAGCATTCTTCATGAGACTGTAACAGTGTAATTTGAGCCATCTCTACATACATAATTCATACAAGAAGCAAATGTAAAATAATAGGCAACTAATGATGTTAAAAGTGACACTATAGTTTAAAGACATTTAAAAAGAGCTAAAACCTCTGGATTAGTCTTGGAGTTCTTTTCAAGGCACCTGAAGAATTGGTTGTCTGAGGGTTGGGCACTCTCACTCTCTGGCTCCACTTGAGTTTAATTGTTCCATGTTTACAATGTTCTACTTAAATGCTGTGGAGAAGTAGACAGAACAGTCGCTTTCTGTCAGATTTATGAAGGCAGAACTTATTTTAATTAACCATTTAAACTTAACTTACTGACTTTGAGTTGACTCAAAGTTGTTTTACAAATCCGATAGGTATTACACCTGAAATAGTTTACATTGGTGACTGACCTGTCTGTTGATCATGGGTGTCAATTCTACATCATTTTCCCAGTGCTGCTACCATTTTAGGCTTAGTCTCGCATGATATAAATGTTTCCCTTCAATTTATGTTTTAAAGTATGTCAAAATGAAGAAGTTCTCTATATTGTGAAGTAGCTTCTGGGCTTTCTGTTGAGATAACTACTCTTCAGGAGTGAGTGAAGGGATGATGTTGTAGCATAAAATATCTTAAGTGCTTAATGATTAATCCATTGGGATACTGCAGGTGAAAGGTGCAATGTGATTTTGGTCTTTTTTTTTTTTCCCTTACAGGGGCAATTTTTGATGAATCTGCCAAAAAAGATGAGGAAGTATTTCGAATGGCAGTTGCTGATCTCAACCAGAATGATGAAATCTTGCAAACAGAGAAAATCACATGTTCAGTGACATTTGTGGATGGCAACAATCCTTTTCAGGCGGTTCAAGAAGGTAGGACAACTAAAGAGATTTCCTGTTGTTGTTTCTCTAGCGACTTGCAAAATATTACTCTGAGAGCTTCCTAGTTTTGTGAGAATTTGCAATTGTTGTTGGCTTGTTTTTCTATGACATATAAAATATTGCATTTAATTTTGGATTTAGCTGCTTTGGTCTGTGTAGGTCTAGTGACTTAAAGCTATAAAGTCATTTATCCGTTTTGTGGAATGTGGGAAAGAAGTCTTTTTACCTACATCTTTCCCTTCTTGCAGGCCTCTTAGGAGTTATTGTCAAACCAATGACTTCTTCCTACTACTTTTTAGTTTAATGTCATGCAGTTAATGGCACTTATTTGGAAAACAAAAGTCGTTGTGTGGATAACCTTTTCAGCCCACACACCTGAAAAAGTTACCAGTTTTAAAGGAGGGATTAGAGATAATCTGATCACTCAGAAAGTTGCCTGTGTCTTATATTATTTTGTACTCAGTCTGTCCTTTGTCATTCCCCAATTATTGGACAAGGGGTGGCAATGTTGCTTTGGGCTCCTGTGATGATAGGATGTAGGATGATAACAGAACATAATATTTGAAATCCCTCTGAGCTGGATTAGTAAATCGCTGGTGTGACCAAGCAGTTGTCTGGAAAGACAGCTGTGAGAAGTCTTTAGAAGTATGGGTTCAAATTTGGTTTGTAAATATTTGTTATTTCTTTGCTGTTCCGACATACTAACTTCTGTCTGAGATGCAAAAGATGCTTAATGTAGGTATATTATTAGACTTTTCTTAACAACAAAACAAAATTTTGATGATTTTCCATGTCTTTACTGGCTCCATATTGACACTTGAGATTTAAGGGAAATATGCATATAGTTACTTCACTATTTGTGAAATCAGAGGTTGATACCAGTTTGGCTTCAAAAGACTGTTGACAAGACAATGCTAATGAGAAGGGTTATAATGCTTATATGACAATGTTTTTTACCAATGACTTTCTTAATTTTTGAGAATTCAGTAATTATTTTGTTCTGTTAAACTTTACAAGTGGATAGACCTGTCTAATGGGAACGGTTGCAGTCTGTGCTTGATGAGGCTGATGCCGAAAAAAACATGATTTTGAGAATATTCCACTTAGAATCAATTCAATCTCTTTCAATCTGAAAAGGCTAACATGAAAATTGAAACTATCTGATACTTTTAGAATTCAGAGGGGAAAAGTGAACTAAACTTTTTAAAGATACTTTCTACACTGTTGATGTTTAAGGTTTGTTGGTTTTCGTGTTTTCGGTTTTTTTTTCAATTCATCCAGGAGGGATAATGGCATCTGATGCCATGTACTTAGCATTGATTAACACTGAAACTTAGCAATTAATTTCCTTTATCATTGTGGTAGATTAGTTGCAGATTATTCCACAAAATTATGTTTTTAGCATCTTTTTTACTTCTAACTTAAAGAAAGTAGGAATGTCCAGTAAAGTAGAACATTCTAAAGGAGTTCATAGCCTGATACTTCAATATTCAACTACTGATTTTATGCAAAAGTTCTATTTGTCGTTGTTGAAAATATCTTGGTATGGTCAACATTTGAAATGTGAATGGAGCAGATTTGACATGAATTTCATTACCATCTGTGCGGGGGTGAAAGGTCTGTTATGATATTGAAGAATTCAAGAAATTACTTTCCATTAAAAACTATTTCTTGTAAATACATGGTCAAATACAGCTACATGCCTAGCAAGCATCATATTCACTATCTCTTAAGTGCCCTGTGTTTTGTTTGGAATAATTTGAGTGAAAAAACAAAGGTTCTGTCTTTCGCATGTGTGTATCTGTGAAATTTTGCTTTTTGAATTATTTTACCACAGTTAACGTGTTTTCTTCTGGTTTAACTGAACAAAGGCACAAGATGCAGTGTAATGTTACAATTACTTTGCACCAGTTTCCTGCCTTTCTTCTTTACTCTCTATCTTTATATCACTTGTTTCTTGCTCTTAATTGCATTTCTTACAAGTGTTAGTAGCAGGAAAGGGGACCACTCTAACTTTTGTCACATATTACATTGTTTATACCTGGGACAAACACTTAGCAAAAATGCACTGTACTAAGCTCCAGAAAAAAAGTTAGTTTAAACAGTCAGGCCATTTTTTGTCTTCTGTTTCTAAAAGAAATACTAGAACAAGGCTAAATCTCATGTTTTTAAGTGTGTATGACATTCAGTATTCTCCAACTTGCCTTTTTCATGCAAGCATGAGCTCTTCTTTGGAATCATAAAAATGTTGAGTCTGAAGTACTCGTCTATCAAGCAGAGCCTAATGTTGACAAAATTATACTATTTATTTATTATTATGTTCTACTATTTGTTTTAATTATTTTTATATAAACTGTTTGACGTTTTGCTTTTACTTCACAATATCTGGGGTTTTTTTAATGTTTTGACTTTTTTCATATCATCTAAACTACAGAATAACCTGTGAGAAAACATCTTTTAATGCTTGGTAAAATGCTAGTTTAAAGCATTAAACCCATAGCAATAACTTAAAATGGGTCTAAATTTGTCTAAAATCTACCTGTTTTAGTCAATAGAGAAGGTTAAAAAATTTACCTTGGACTATGAATTTCAAAAAACAAAAAGACATGAGCAAAAACCTCACAAAGCAAGACACAGAGGAAATACTTACAAAGTTATTTTTCGTAATGATCCACTAATGGACAGCATGCAGTATTTCTTTTATTTCATTAAATTAGCAAATTTAGCAAGTAACTCCCAAACAATTTAAACATAAATACTCAGACACTTCATAATGATCTTGGGATGTAAAGATAAATAATATGAGAGGATCAGTTACTGTGTGGTACTGTGTTCTTCCCTCTGAATCTGTTTTTATAAATTATTATAGTGCCCTTAAATGTCTTCCATTTGTACCTTAGGGCATCTCATTAGCAGTTCTGATTGGAGCGATGATACTATAAACAAAGCTGAGTGGTTTTACCCTGAAGACCTGTGAATGACATGCCCCGTAATACCACTGGAAATGCCCTCGGGGGCAATTTATAGGCATGTTTTAGTGCACAGAAATAAGAGGCAAAATTCTTTAAGTTAGGAGAACTGTTCTTCCCTTTGGTACATGTTCTATCAGAAAGGGCCAACAGTGGGTGTGATGCAGATGTTTTATTGTGTGATTCATGCTTCCATGTCAACATCATGGAGTAGCATGGGAAACCCATGGAGGGAAGTCCAGGGCAAGCCCAGTTGGTAGGTCAGGGTGAAGACCAGTGAAGTGTATTGCCAGATGTGCATAGCTTCAGCCTGACACACACAGGGGAGCGTTTGCAGAAGAAGAGAGTGGCTGAGAAGGGTGGCTGAATCATGTAGGTGGTGCACCTCATGGAAGCTGCAGCCCAGCTGCTGAGATGTCACAGTAACACACACCTGTTGTAATGTCCAACACGGCATGTTCCTCCCTCTCTACCTTTCTTTCTTCAGTACAAAACACTTCATAATGTTCAAAGTACTCTTCTATGAATGTCTCAAAATATTTGTGTGCTTGCGTGATAGAATAAGAATATTTTATGCTGTGCCCATGTTGGGTACCACAAAGGGAAAGCAGGAATTTAAGTTTTCTCTGTATAGTCATTGAAGGAAGTAGGGATAGTCAGTTTTTGCATGGTAGCAAGTCAGTAATTTGGCACTATGAAACAAGGAATTATGATGCTAGATCCATACTATTGGCAATAATACATATTAGTATAAACTTCTTTTCCTGTGAGATTTCAACTTACAGCAGTATTTAAATAGGAGTAGGATTGGCCTTCCAAAGGTTTTGAGTTCTAAATATACTTAAACTGAAATTATTTTTATAAGAGTCTTGTTTCTATATTTTTTTCTAATGGACTGTTTTTCCTTTCACTGGGAAATTTGATTGAAATAAATATAACACTTGTTTGTCAGAAAATCATCCTGTTCTCTCATCTTCCTCTTGCTTTTATTATTCTTGTGCTTACTTCAGTACACTAATAATTAAAGCTTAAATTTTATGGTTCAAAGCCTGCCATTTCCTCCAATTCTTAATTTATCATTAATAATATGATCACACATTTGCTGAATGGCTAGTATAAAATATGCAATAGCCTATGCATTTTTGTGGCAAAGGGAGGGAAGGGGCAGCTTTGGTAACTTGAACCAGAGGTAATAATTTGGTTTGCGTGAATCTGCCTCCTTGGGCAGCACATTTTCTACAGCCCTCCTGTTGCTATTTCCACTTTCACACCAGGAGTTATAGATCAAACTCTGCAGGAGTTTACAGTGCTCGGGGCATCCACAGCATCTGGAGGGTAGTCAGAGCTCGGCAGGACCCATGTCCAAAGATGTACATTGTTCTTGGAGATCCATTGGCGATATTTTAAACCTCATGGCAAACACTTTCTTTTCATTCAGTGATGATATTTTTTTTATCTTACTCTTTTCTCCTACCTCCTTTTTTTTTTTTTGACAATATGACATTTTTACTGATCTGGAAGAATAACTCCATAGTAATGCAGTGTTTTCTTCTATAACCTACCTATAATACATGGCAAATAGGTTTGACTGATGCTTTTTGAAATCCACTTTTTTGACACATTTTCCTATTGCAATCACATATATGTGAAGCTTATTTTTCTTTCTTTTTTTTTTAAACCAACCTTTTTGTCATTCAGGTTAGTCACCAGAGTATGCTTACAGACACCAACTTGAGCCTTCGTAATGGCTTTTGAAAGCTTATTGTGATCAGTGAAGTAAATAAGGCAGTGAGTCATAACTAAATGGGATTCAGCTGTAGAGTAGCAGAGGTTTGTAGGGCAGCAATATGTATGAAGGTCACATGCAGGATTTTATTCAAGCAAAGTTTTATGGTCAGAAATTATGACCTGATGGATACATCTGCTTTGGCCTTTGGGACTAGAGGAGTGTAATAAGATTGTCCTTTCCCATTTCTCTGATCACTGTAGAAACCTGTTTAAATCCACAGATTTCATGGACTG